CTGCTAGCTTTGTTTATGTCAGGATGTATGTTCCACCTACTTTGTTTGTCTTCTCTGTGTAATTCACAACCACGGGTGACGGGCAGAGCAGTGGTGCGATGTGTGAATCGTGGTGTATGCAGCTGTTTTGGCAGTGAAGCTGGCAGCAGATGCACAGTCACACTCCGCCTCCTCCTTGCCAGCTGTTCACTCTGGGGACAGTACTGCTGGAGTCACAAGGTGGAGAAGCAGCTACATCAAGTGGTAAGGGTCTGTGAAAAACAGTGCACCGAGCTCAGGCAGCCTGCAGAGCCCGCTGATTTAGTTCTTTAGTTCTCCTCAACATTTAGGGGAATAAAAATACTTTAATTTCTGGTGGGAAAGGTGCTGAGCATGCAGTCAAAAGCCAGTAAATCTCCTGGTAAGTGCTGGGGAGTTTGGCTTTGCTCTGCCTCTATAGGGTTGGGGCTGAATATGAGGAAAACACACACAGCAGAACAGAGGACAGTGCTCTGTGGGAGCATTCATGCTAGCCTGGACTAGTCATATCTGTTGGAGGTGGAGGTAAGGAGCTCAGCAGCAGTCAGCAGTGAAAGACTCTTTGCTGGGTGAAGGCCATGTGCAATGCTCATGTAGCAGAATCACTGTGAGCCCGGAGACACCCCCTAGAACGTCAAAGAGCTTCGCTGTAACCCTGGGAATGAGCTGGATGTGCCACCAGGGATATTTCTCAAGGGACCCTTACACACCCTTTTTCATCCCATTCTAGGAACCAGGAAAAGCTACAATTTCCTCCCAACCGTAAAGAACTAAAAATTAATATTAAACAGCCTACAGGTCTGGGGTGCCACCAAGCAGATTCTTCATTTTAGAGAGACCCAAGAGACCTGAGGGAGCGTCATTTTCCTGTGTCTTTCATAGTACTTCACAAGCTGACTGAATTTGTTCATTAATAACAGTAGTGGAAATAAAAAATCTCGTAATCAAGTGCTTTGAAGATGAGTTTTCATGTGGCCCCTGGAACCAGCAAACCAATGCTAGAGACCAAGCTTGTCTATCCTTTTGACAGGTACTAGGGGTGGTCCCACCAGTGTTAAGCCTTACACTGCAAGTATAGAAGAATAATTGGGATTGAAACCTGACCTGGCCTATTCTACATGTTCATTCTAATATATTTTAAGGCACACATATAATATTTAATATATCTTAAGGCATTTTTTGAGCACAGCAGCTCAAAAAAACTTGGCATAAACATACTTGAGGTATAAGATTCATAGCATTCGCTCCCCTCATCTGGTCTTCATTTTCCTCTGCTTAGCTGCAGTCAGCCCAATTCAAGCCAAGCACAACATTTTTTATTAATATAATTGGAAGTTATAAATGAAACTGTAGAAGTCAGAGACAGAGAGGGGTGCACAAGCAGGACTGCTGTCTGAGGAGGAAGGAAACCGCTCTGTGCCACAGCTTCTCTGGGGAGCCAGCACCCCCTGCTCCCTGCCACCCCAGCCTTGACCTGCTGATGGCCATCACCCACTGGCTCGCTGCTGACCAAGGAGAAAAAACAGGAAGGAGCAATTCAGTCTTGTTAAACTGCAACAACTCCCTGGTTTGGAAAAGATCTCTTTTCAAACCAGGGTGGGCTCAGTTTGATGTAGCTTTATTGGTTATCATCTCTGACACAGCCACTTGAATGTGTACTTACTGAAAATGAGGTGTTTTCTCATGCTGCCGGGGAATACAGAAATGAGAACAAAAAGAAGCCACATCATGGTACATCATGGTAATGTTTTACACCACGAGAGATAAAAGTCATCTTAATTTATTTTCAAATTTCTAAATAGAGATTGGTTCTAATCTAATACTTAAATAATCACTGATATTTTGAGCTAAACCCCATATAATAGGCAACCATGATTGAAGGAAAGGGGAAACTTACAAATACGTACACACACAAAGACAAGAAACATGTCAACACCACTTTACCACTTTTGTATTTTATTGTGGAACTGAGTTTGTTTCCTTTACATCAAATATCCTCAATGGAAGAGGGGATATTGCACACAAATATCATAAAAGCACTACATATTACTTTCACTGGAAACTAATTTTCTACATTAGATATGACTGGATAGAATAGAAGTGATGCAGGATTATAAGACATAATACCATACACAGCTGCAGACTGACACAAACACCATTCAGAACAAGAGAGAGGAGGTGTGTGAGGTGCTTCTCAGCCAGCAACAAGACTGTTTCTTTCCATGGTTTGGAAGATAATGGCTGCATGCAAATGCGTGAAAGCATATTTCAGATTTGCTCTTTTACAATTGTGATTACAGCCCAGTCTTGAAGAGGTAGCTCCGGCCATTTGGAGCTCCTAGCAAGTCTAGTGCAGAGAAGCTTTGTATTATTTTTCTCCCTTTTTCTTTTTCTCTCCTTTCAATATTTTTATGCAATTGTTTTATTTAGTTATTTAATTTTTAGATTTTTTTGTAAAGTCACAACAAACAGACTATTTTTTCTTTTTTTCCTTTTATTTTAAATAGCAAACATTTTTAAACTGGGTGAATAGTATACTTGCATTCTAAGAAATGCTTACCCTTAGTTGGTTTTAGTGTTTTGTTCAATTATTAAGTGAAAAGATGAAAGCTTACAGTTTCTTCCAAGTGTAAGTATTATACTTTTTCCTTTTCTAATAAATCCAGACCAACAAAATTACTATTTCTCTCAAAACATCATTACTGAGCAAGAACCTCTGGCGACAGATGAACAGAGAGAAGCATATGACATAAATGTTCCAAATGCACAGTAAGCGCTCTTTGGAGCTGACTTGCTTGTGGCGGGAGGGATTGAAAATTCAATTAACAAATCAATTAAATCTTACTAAAATGAGTACCGGAACTCTCCTAAATAGTGTAAGCTATTGCAGACAATAAAGAAAAAGAAAGAAAAAAAAAAAAACAACATTCATATGTACGGTTAGCTCCATTCACCACAGCATGTAAGGTAATTAAAAAAAAAAACAAAAGTGAATTTTTGAAAGATGGGGTGAAAAGTAAAGGTCAATGAAGTCAGGCCCACCACAGGACTTTGAAAAGGCATGCAAGAGAGGCCCTGTCTAAGTTCAGGAGTGGGAGGTGATCTCTAAAGTTAATTCTTCATTGAATTTTATTAAGCAGTATACTTAGTAGCATAAAGATCATGACTGGGATGCTATTATGGATAACACCATCATTTAAATGGAGTGTCCTTTACACTCAGACACTGAATCTTTATAATTAGAGTAATCAATAACAAACCATGCTCCTAGAAATCTATGCCGATCAACAGCACTCATCATTAATGTACATGGTACATTTTGATGACTGTTCTAAGCTAATTGTGTAGTATTATAACTAGCACAGTTAGATTAGTTCCACAGGCAGGAAAGACATTAAGGGCAAGAGGAGCTAATGGAGGAGGGAGTTCATCGCTGTGTTGCACCCAGGGGTGGTTGCCATTTAAAAGGGAATGGATGGAACAGGCATTACAAAACCTCAGAAGAGCCAGGCTGGGCTTTTAATATTATTGTAACAGAAAAAAAAAATAATAATAATAAAAAAATGCACATTTTAAAGTCAGCTGTAACTACATTATTATTATTTTTTTAAGTAGAACTAATGCTTGAGCCATCACAAACTTGCTTGGGGAGATTTAAGGCTTAATTCTAATTTAATTTACAGTAGGATTGAATGACTGTAACTTCCCTGATTGTAGTGAAATTGATCTTGACTCTCAGTGGTGTGGGATTTATCTCAGGACCACTTCTGTACTTAAAACAGATTTTCTTCCAAAGCAGAGGTACAAACTGTTTCAGATTTTGTCATAAAATCAGAAAATCTGTTGATCTGTTCCCACTCAAAATGTTTGAGATCTTACCTATGTAAGAAAGTAGACAAAGCAGAAAGAATTGAAGAAACAATACAACTATTCTGCCAAATATTTTGCCTATAACTTTGAAAACTATGTATTACTAACATAATTTTAAGTAAATTATTATGAGCCCAGCAAACATGCTTACTTTCACAATACATTTCCACCTGCCTTTTGTGCCATAGTCATTCTGAGTTATTCTTAACAACTTAAAAGGTATAGCAATAAATAAAACAGCATTGCTAGAGATACCTAAAAAAAGAAGACATTAAAAATAAATCAAAAACCCCAACAATTGACAAACAGTAATTCACAGCATTAAATGGGCCTCAGGAGCCCATATTTAAAGGACCCTAAAGCAGGATTAAAAAAATCATAAAAATTAGGAGTGCAAACTTATACCTAACAAAAATATCCTAACTATGTAAATTTGAAATAAATTAGAAGTAAAGAAAATAAAATGAGGTCATAGTTCACTACATTGTGAAACTTAATATCAGCCATAACAGTGAATCATACAGACCAGCACATATCTCCATTTCGGAGGCCTTTATACCTTCTTTAAATTCTGATTTGCAAAGCTTCTACAAAGTATTTTTTTTTTCATTGGGGTAAAACTTCTGAGACTAAAAAATCCAAACTGTCTTAAATCATGGAACTGTTCTACATGCTGTTCCTCTGCAGGCAGTCTAGAGAAGGAAAGAAAGGGGAAAAGAAGGGAGAAAGGAAAGGAAAGGAAAGGAAAGGAAAGGAAAGGAAAGGAAGGAAAGGAAAGGAAAGGAAGGAAAGGACGTAAAGTAAAGGAAGAATGTCCACTGACAGGAAAGGAACATTAAAGGAAAGACCACCCCCTTCACTCCACTGCCCTTCCCTTCCCTTCCCCCTTCCCCCTGCCCCCCTTTACCAGGAACAGGAAAGGAAAGGATTTATTTTAGCTTATTGCTTATTCTATCTTTTCTCAAGATCTTGTGAGGGTTGAGAATGTAGACACTTGTAAATATTAGGCAATCAACATTTCAAATTCCATTTTCTTTCATCATCAATAGATTAATTTTATCATTAGGGTGCCCCCTCTGCACCTATCCCCAAAAAAGGTTTTGGCAGTTGACTATTTTCAATAAATTTTAGTTTAATATCCATTCTCACTAGAACCTTAAACAACATTATTCATTTATCTTACAAAACTACTAAAAAAACTGCCTTCACCTGAAAAATTTTTCTTTGCGTTTTCCTGTAAATGAAAACTTTTGTTAAAAATTCATCTATTAAAAGTTCACACATTGCTAAAAAAAGGTTTCTGTACATTTGTTCCCATATTCATTCTTAAATTAAACAAATAAAATAATGTAAGACAAAGGAAGGTTGAATACTGTACAGACTCGCAGGTAACCTTTTTATCATTCTGAAAATTTCACTAAGTTTTGCAACTCTGATACTGGACACCACTTCAATCCTGCTTCCACAGTACAAAAGAAGCTTTCAAAAGAAATGCTTGTCTTGCCTTCTTCTGCTGTCCAGGTGCACCAATGAAGTGTTCACATGACTAAGATATGTAATTCATAGCACCGAGCCATTTGACCAGTCAGATAGGTTTCTAGTACCACACATGCACACTCACACTTCTTTACTGGTGTAACTATGATCCTACACTGGTGTTTATAAATTTGCTGTCTCAACAGTAAAAAATAAGTGCATCGAGTTTCTTTGTACATTCAAGTCACTTTCTAAGGCAAATTGTCTACTGTATGTACTCCCAACTGCTTTGGTATTTTGCTTCAGTCAATCAACAGTTGACATGGGTGTTTAAGCATGTGGACTGGTCAATTCTGAGTGGAGTAAGTGGACTTTTGCTGGGAGTATGCCTTAGACCAATAATTCTGGATGTTAAAAGGAAGGTTTTAGAGTTCTGGATGGGGTTCAGACAATGTGCATATTTGGCCTATGATTGTTATGGTATGTCAGTATGCAGAGTTCAAATTAAAGTGGAAAACTGCTAATGAGAGTTTTAAGTTTTATGTCCTTTCCTAGCCACGTTCTCTTTCTTTGCATTTTCCAGCTAACTTAACTCTGTAAAGTAAGGACCCCCTTTGTGATAGCTCGGATTGATACAAATTTAAAACTTTCTTTTCATATGAGAGCATAAGCAGACTGCAGTAAGCGATACATCTATTGCCATAAGACTAATGCAGATCTAATTATTTTTTACTTTCTCCTCCTACCCCTCTCTCTCTTTCTCTCTTGTTGTGTTTCTTTAGAGGGCAAATGCCTCTACCTGGCAGAAGTCAGTTATGGTTGCTAGTGCATGGTTTCCAAACGTTCAGCGGAGATGAAACTGGATCTGTATTTTCGCAGTAATTTGAACCCTACTATAGGAATACTGTTACTTCCCTTAGCAATCAGCAAAGACTGAAAAATATTAGTGACTTGCATCACCGTGACACAGTATAGCATTTGGCAGGTATATAGTTCAGCAGTTGAAATAGATGGGTTGAATTTTTAGAAAAGGTGTTTTCAAACTGAAGAATTTCTGGAAACAAAGTTTAACGTTGTGGTGCGTGGTCTTGTTCTTACAGTTCAATCTTGCATGCGGGAAAAGATTCATCTTGCATAACAACCGTGCTGCTGCTTGCCAAAACCATGATGTTGAGGTCCTGCTGTTTCTCGTGGGTCTCTTGGTACCATTCTCTCATCACTTCTGAGTCATGTGTTGGGATTAAGGTCACCTGCAACATGAAAAAGTAGAGCTTCTCAGGCATGAGCAACAGAAGAAAATCATAAGAAAAATGGCTTTGTTAAAAGTGCCAACCAACAGCTACATTTCCCTTTTGGAAAGATCATATCTTTATGCAGTAAATAATAAGATAAATTTATGGATAAAAAGAAATTAAAAAACCTGCTTCTGTAAAGTGCTCAAATACAGCTTTTCAGAGAAGGAGCAAGGTATAGTCTGCACTGATATCCCTTCTGATTATGGCCTATTTATTTATTTACTTATCACATTGGAAAGGCACAAGGAGTTTCCAAGTGTACATGGTTGCTGTACAAACCACAGAATGTTATTTTTTTCTTTCCTACATGCAAACTGAAAGGTTAGCAAACCCAGATCATTTATGGTATAATAATAACGTGAAACAGCGAAATGGCCCTGTAAATAATGCATTTCCAACCATTGTATTCTACAGGGTCAGGTCAGAAGAGCAAGGAATGGAGGTGCAGCTGACCACAACTCCATACTTCACTCATGTACCACAGCTCCGTACTTCACTCATGTGTCCTCTCACTGGTTTCACCACTGATGAAATGAGGTGCCCTAGCTGGGAACCTCCTGTCCAGAGCAGTGGCTGTCCACTCTACAGGTGCACTGGCTACCCATGGTTGCTTCTCAGAAAAGTTTTAATTTCCAGGCAGAAATACTAGCAAAGAGCCTACCTGCATGTTGCTCTCCCACTGGGCCTTGCCCTCCAGCAGGGAGTCCAGAACAGCCCTGCTTGGCTCCTCGGCTGCGGCATCGTTCCCGCTCACCACGTAGTAGGATGACCGGACCCTCTTGAAAAACTCAACGTCAACATTCTTACTGTTGCTGTGGTTGGGAATGTACACCAGATCCAAATACACTGGAGGTCCTGGAGGCACAGCTGTAGATTTTGCTGACTTAGTAGTCCCAGGTCCTTTGGAAATCAAACAACAAAAGAATACATCCCGGGGTGGTTAAAAACATGTATTTATTAGTGACCATTAAAATCATTGAGGTGATACTCCTTAAAATAGCTACTGCTGGTTAAGTGTTACAGTTGTACTTCTGTGTCTTCTGAAACAATTATGGCATTACCCTCCTACACCTAATGACACTTTCCAGCTTTGTCAAATCCAAATGCTGATTGTACTAGGAAGAAAAAACCTGAACATATGTAACTAACTATATAATACAATAAAAACTCACTGCCACATAACCAACAATTGACTGAACATTTCCCAGTAATACGCTACTATTATCCAACAATTACTACACAAATCTGTGATTACTGAATTACCATTCAATAAATGGCAGCCTTAATTTCTAAGTTAAAAAGCACAGCTTTTTGAAAATCTCAGATCTGCATGATGATGAAACATAGGGTCACACAGGGAGCCATGCAGATTTGAAGCTATCTTTATTTATATACAAAAATTGGCCACATCACAAAAAGCAGGGGGAAGAAACTGCAATGCATAGTGCAGTGGCTAAGAAGAGCTTCATTCAAAAGGAAGTCCAAATTTTAAACACTCACATAGTTACAAAAAATCTGCTTTTGCCATACACTGGATCACAGTGTGAACTGGCAATGAGGGTTCAATCAGTAATCGTATTCAGATAATGGCCATTTATTGATTACTAGCCTCCTTGTGATGTTATAGAGGATAAAGTTTGGAAAACTAAATTATCTGAGCAGTATCCTTTATTTAGGGTCACATATTGAAAGGCCAGAAAAGTCCATTAGAATTGTCTATCTTGATCTGATATTCATCAGAGGACAATATGCCAAACAAGCATCATAATATGAAAATATTTCCTGAATTAGAGCAGTTTTAACCATTGGGTATGTTACAAAATCTTTTACCATCTTTTATCACAATAATAATAATAATAATAATAATAAAATATATCAATGATACATCTTCTGGAATTGTGGACACTAACTTTGAGTACAATATTGGGCATTTTACTTTAAACCTAAATGTCAATATCAAATAAGAGTCTTGTCTTAAGCTCTAGCATATGCCTGGGAAATATGCTTCAAGGAAAAATAATCTAATATAGAACTAAAGTTCTAGAGAAATGTACAGCATGAGGAACTAAACTGCTGTTTTGAAAGGCATCTACTAACAGAGACATGCGAACTATGGTATAAGAAATGAACAGTGTACTACTTCAAATGGGAGAGCTATGGACATGAATGTTGGTTTGCTTGTACTGAATCCCAGACCTGCTGGGAGTAAAAAGCTTTCAAGAAATTTCAGTCCTGTTGGTAACAGTAAAATCAGAGTATCCTCAAAACTCTGTAATAAGATCTGCTGGAAACAACCTATTAGCACAATGCCTTCTTCAGTAATTTAATATGTATTTTATTACTACTTAGAAGGCACAACAGTCATTCAAAATGACACTAACTTTCCACATGTTGAGTCATCATTGATGGCATAAGACTTTAACCGGATTATGTGATATACATGCTTAGCTCACTGAAAGTGCTCTTGCTACTGTTATAATTTTTTTAAATACTCTTTTTAAAAATAATCCAGCAAAGTAATAAAAGCATCCGATGTCCTACAGCACCTCGCCTCTTACAACATTAAACTGTGTTAGTTTATGTTAAGAGCATTGTGCCTACATAATTCTGGAAATGAATAAAGTGGACCACTCCACTGCTAATTTCACTTAACCTACAAGAGTAGTACTTTTAATTCTATTAGTCAGTTAACACTTTAGACAGCTGGTACTAAGCTTTTTTATACTTGAGGTACTTGAACTAATTCTTTACATCTCTGCAAACTGACACATCAAGTTTCTCAGATTAAAAGAATTAAGTCAGAGAATTTCATTCATTTAAATGGGTCGTTTACATACTGTGCTTGTATCTAAAACATGGACTTTCTTTGGGGGTTTGCTGAAAACCACATTCTCAACTGATATAAAGGCAATCTAACTTCACTATCTTAACAACTAGAGAGCTCTTATGTGCTTTTACCTGTGGTTGCGGTCTTTGCTGACTTGGATGCTGTTGTATTTGCTGCATTCTTGGTGTCCTTATCTTTCTCTTCTACTCGGGACTTTACTTCTGGATTAGAGATATTTTTGGTTGCCTTCTCCACAGACTCCTTCTTTTTTGGAGAAGCTGTTTTGGAAGTTTTTTCTAAAGATTCTTTCACAGCTGGCTTTGGTGAAGCCACTTGTTTTGATTTACCATCACTTTTTTTAACAGGAGAAGATGACTTGGTCTTAGTACCTTGCTTTTTTGTTTTCGTCTTTTCCTTGAGGTCCTTCTTTAAAGGTTTACCCAGATTCTGGTCAACAGGCAAAGCCTCTGGATCAACCATGGAGACATCAGGGTGCCTAGGGGAAGGGCTGCGATCCTGCATTGGGACCGGTGGTGGGTCAATGTGTTTGTATGTAATTGTCTTGTCTGTTGGAATGGTTTCTGACTCATCTTCCGAGTCAATGTTAGCATCTGCAGTGATGGAAGGGCATTCCTCAGTCTCAGGGGGAACATCTGAATCCGTCTGAGATGGGGCAGACTCGCTCACTGAAGTGGGAGGTGTTTCATCACACTGCCGTCCCTGCTGCTTTCCCCCGGAGGGTGGCTGGGCTCCCCCAGACTGAGTTAATGGCTTTTCTTGATCTTGAGACTGCTCTTCACTTGCAAACCACTCAAGGGGATTAGGGTTGATAAATGAAGGTGAAAGTTCAGTTTTAGGATGCTTATATTCGCAGGAGGACACAAGGCATAAATCAACATCTTGACGAGATTCTGCTAATGATTTTCCTGGAGTAAAATGTGCACTTGCTTCATAGGAATAGCTGGTAGGTTCAGGTGACCTGGTGGCTTGCTCAGTTGTCTCAAATGAATAATCTGTGGCTTCAGGTGAGCTGGTGGATTTTCCAGTTGTCTCGTAGGAGTAAGCTGTGGCCTCTGGTGACCTAGTGGTTCTCCCAGTTGTCTCATAGCAGTAGTCCATGGTTTCTGGTGACTTAGTGGTTTTCCCTGTTGCCTCAAATGAATAATCCATAGCATCAAGTGATTTGGTAGCTTTCCCAATTCTCTCATAGGAATAATCTGTGACATCAAGTGATTTGGTGGTTTTCCCAATTATCTCATAGGAATAATCTGTGGCCTCAGGTGATCTGGTGGTTTTGCCTGTTGTCTCATAGGAATAATCTGTGTCCCCAGGTGACCTGGTGGTTTTTCCTGTCATATCATAGGAATAATCTGTTTCACCAGGTGACCTGGTGGCTTTCCCTGTCATCTCGTAGGAGTAATCTGTGGCCCCTGGTGACCTGGTGGTTTTCCCTGTCATCTCATAGGAGTAATCTGTGGCTTCAGGTGACCTAGAAGTTTTCCCTGTTGTCTCATAGGAATAATCTGTGGCTTCAGGCGATTTAGTAGATTTTCCAACTGCCTCATAGGAGTAGCTAATATCTTCTGGTGATCTAGCAGTTTTTTCTGTGGCCTCATAAGAATAACTAAGTTCCTCTGGTGACCTGCTGCTTTTCTCTGAATCTTCTTTTTCTGGGCTGAATAAAGGTTCTGGGCTGTGCTTTTCTAGGGGTTCCTGTAATGTCACAGCCTGGTAACCAAAGGCTTTGTCAGAGGACACTTCCAATGACAATGAAGATGCATGACTAGCTGACACTGCTTCTGTGACTGCAGGAGGCGAATCTGGAAAACTAGGAGAGTATAGAGGAGAAGATTCCCTTGGACTTAATGGAGATAGATCAGACTTTGGTGACAGCTTTTCTCCTAGGCTCTGCACCTTTTCTGAGGTAAGAGAAGAATGAAGTGACATATCTCTGGGTGGAGCGGCACCTGCAAATGTTTCCTCTGGCAGTGGAGAAGTTACCTGGGAAGGAGTATGAGCTGATGAACTTGAAGATGAAGCTTCAATTTGAGAAACTGAAATAATTTCTGAAATATCCTTCTCTTGAGAGTAAGATGTCTGCTCCACAGGCGAAATCTTCTGTGCAAAAGTAGGCTCCTGTATATCTGAAGGGCTATAATCTACTTCTGTTGGTCCATTTTCAGATATATGATGTATGCTAGTGCCTACAGGAGGATATTCAGGAGATTGCCTGCTGAAATCCATTGCTAAAGACTGCTCAGGGGATTCCTGACCAAATTCTACTGACATAGTTGACTGTTCAGGAGATCTGTGATCATGCACTGGGGTTCTTGATTTTGCAGTTTTAGGTGAGAAATCTGGTGGAGAAATTGACATAGGCCTTGGGCACTCCTCCTTAGATGGAGACATTTCTGTTTCCTGAAATGTTGTTGGTGTTTGTACAACTGACACTGAAAGGGAATCGTCAACTTCTGTTGAGTGGGGAGATCCAACCTCAGCATGCAAAGAGGGGGATACATCATCAGTAGTTGGTTCTGGAAATGAACTAGTAGCAACAGATGCTGTGGAGACAGAAGCTACTCCTTCAATATGAGAATATGTGTCTTCTGCTACGACCTCATCAACAGGAGTTGCAGACTTATCAGAAACAGTGCCTTCAGAAATTGACATTTTTGTGTCCTCTTTTAAGGAACCAAACTGACTGATATCTATTTGAGTAGGTGAGAGATCACCCGTCAACTTCCTCTCATCCAAGACCAGTGAAGACTGGGAGCTGCTGGGTTCTGTATCCTCCATTCTTCTCTCTAGGCTGAAGCCTTCCTTAATTACCATAAACTCCATGCTTTTTTCATCTTGTCTTTCTTGGAAAAGCCCCACTGAGCTGGCTTCAGAAGCTGGGCTCATTTGAACTGGTGATTTTTCTTTTTCAGGTTTCCCCTCAGAAGGACTTCCATAATCTCTGGTGGGAGACTTTACATCAGCACTCAAAAATGTATCATAAGCGGTCTCTGAACCTATCAGTGGTGGACTCCGTAGAGGTGAGAGAACCTTTTCAATAGGAGATTCTGAATCTGGCACAGGCTCATCCATTGGGCTTATTCTGGGTTTTGCAGACTCATCTTTGACTTCGCTGAATTCAAAGCTAACTGGAGCTTCTGTTGACTTTTCACTTGTTTCAGAGGGAAGCTGACTGGATTTTTCATCAGTGGGAGACTGATAATAAGGTGTGTGACCAGCACTACCAGCAGCAGACTGTGAGGGAGATGCTACTTCTAATGTTTTATCTTCAGGGCTTGCACAGTGCTCTTCAGCAACTTCTTGACGTACACTGGGCAATGCAGCAACGGGGGCAGGCTCAGCCAAGACCTTGATCTCATTAGGAATGAGTGAAAAGTTGACACTGCGTTCACCCAGTGGTGTTTTGGCAACTGGTGATGGAGGGGACAAACTATCAGCTGGACTCTTGGCTGGACTAAGTTTTCCAGAAACATCTTCTGGACAGGTTTCTTTGATTTCTAATTTGGCAGTGCCTTGGATTTCACTTTCTTTTTGCCGGTACACATCCTGGAACACAGATTTGCAGAATTTGTCTTCCTCTAATGAAGAAGGTGGTGAGATGGTAGAAGCTGAGGCATTATAGTCTTTACCTTCTGTGGCCTCTGTTTTGGATCCTTCTGATAATCCATTAAGAGCATCTGGAAGTGGAGAAAGTTTAGGCCTACCAAACTCTTGAGAGTACAGTGATGTCTCGTACTTGGTAATATTCACATACTCCTGAGACGGTGACTCACTTTCCTCATTGTTAGTTTCATCACTCATAACATCCCGGGGCGTAGACATTTCATCCATTGGAGTCGGTTCACTAGATATTTCAATGGTAGACTGTGTATAACCCGAAGTAGCAGTGAATTCCTCAGGTTGATCTTCTCTATTTTCTTCATCAGAAACAGTGGCTTCACTTTCTGAACCACCAGGTAATGTCTCATCATGGATTGAAGAGGCTGGTTCAACTGCTGGAGACTGAGGCTCTGAGCGTTTTGTTGGTGTAATAATGAGTAGGCCATATTTATCTTCAACTTCACCAGCTTCTGCAGCTTTGTCTACCACAGCCATCACATAGTCTTCTTCAGCTTCTATTTTTTCAGTCTCCTCTTCATCTCTGATGTCTTCTGCTTTGTCTTCTTCTTCTTCTTCAGTCTCTTCAGTTTCTGCCTTTTCTACTGCTTCTTCCCTGTCCTCCTCAGCCCGTTCATCTGATGCCTCATAATCTGCCTTTTCGATATATTTTTCATCTTTGATATTAGCATCTGTTTCAGCCATTATTTCTTCTGCACTCTTACCCACTTTTCTTGCTTCTTCCATGTATGGTTTTGTGGTGTCAAGTGGTGTCTTTTCTTCCTCATCTTCACCTCGTTCTTCAGCTTCTTCTGTCTCTGCCTTCTCCTCATAATCTCCTGCTTCAGATGATTCTTCCAGGCCAGTTCCCTCATCTTCAAACTTTTCATTGTCATCAACCCTGTGCTTTTCCACAGGTTCTAATTCTTCAGGTGTCTGTCCACACTCACCCTCAGCCTCTGTGGTAGTTATGCCTTCGTCAGAGGACTCAGCAGGTCCTTCATTGTCTAATTTTTCCTTTTGGATATCAAAGGCCTCTTTTTGTTCTTTGCCGGAGAGCTTCAATTCATCCTCAATGAGTGCAACCTGAGGTTTTGTTGTTTTTATTGTTTCCACTTCTTCAGCTTTTAATTCTTCAAAATCCTTTGTTAAATCTTCTGGTGAAGACATAAGGGACCTCTCTGCCTCAAGTTCTTTTCCGCTAGCTGTAATTTCTGCAGCTGCTACAGCAGCTACTGTTGTGGCAGCAGCTCCAACGGCTGCAAGGGCAGCTTGTGCTCCACTGACTTTGATCTCCTTCTTCACAGTCTTAATTTTTCCCTTTTCCTTTGGTTTTCCAGCAGGTACTGCTTCTTTTTTAGCAGGTTCCTCCTTCTTTTGTGGTTTAGGTTTTGCTGCTGGCTTTTTGGTTTCAGCTGAAGGAGTGGGTGTCTTCTTTGTTTCTTTAGGAACCTTTTTGATGTCCTTTTTGGCTTCTTTTTCTTCCTTCTTAACTTCTTTTTTCTCTTCTTTTTTAGCTTCTTTCTTCACTTCCTTTGGTGGAGCTTCTTTCTTCACTTCCTTCTTAATTTCCTTCTTCTCCTCCTTTTTCACCTCTTTTTTAACTTCTTTCTTGATCTCTTCTTTTTTGGGTTTTTCCTCTTTTTTGATGGGAGTTTTCTCCTCCTTTTTAGCAACCTCTTTCTTTGTTTTTTCTTTTTCCTCTTTCTTTTCTTCAGCTTTTGCTTTGACTTCCTTTTTCACTGGTTTCTCCTTTGTCACTTTTGGTTTTACATCTGTAGCTTGTTTTTCAGGAGTTTCAGATTTCAGTAATTGTTCTTCCTTACTTGTTATATCTTTTTCTGCCACTATAGGTTTGGCTTCTGGTTTTGCTGGTTTCTCTTTTTTAACTGGAACTTTTTCTTTGCTTTCTAATTTCTGAGTCTTTTCTGGTGCTGGACTAGGCTTTGCAGGCTCTGGAGTTTCTTCTTTAGATTCTTTTCTGGCAGTCTTGCTTGGTGGTGTCTTTGCAGCAGGCTTGAGACTCTCCTTGCTGTCAGTTCGCTGTTTCAACTTTGCTTGTTTCACAGCTGGACTAGCAATGTTTCCAGTTAGGTCTTTTTGTGTAACCATTGGTTGTTTAAGGAAGTCCAAGTGTTTGAGCTTTTCTAGTCCTTCTAGAATATTATACTGGGTGCTGTTTCCAGGAAACAGAACTCGAATTATTTTTTCTGCAGGATTAGCTGGATGCCACACAATCAGGGATGAAACAGAAGTGAAATAGGATAATGGAATGTCTAGTTCTTGGCCATTTGGTAGCAGAAATTCAGCTTTATCTCTGTTAGTACCACTCCACTGTTGCATAAAATATTGCATCTCTTTGCTACTTTTGACAGGATTAAGCACATACATCTCAAGTTTGCCAACTCCCATTTTCTGAAATAAAATAATGGGGTCAATGGTATTTCCCACATTTCTGAAAAGAGGTTCTGGTTTCATAGACAATTTATTTAAATACTGGAGTGTAAAGCAAGCTTCTTCGACACTCCTTTTAACTCTAATGTTAGGATCCAGATTCTTCAGGTTCTCAGGTACATTAAGGAATACAACTCCTAAATCAGGTGAGATCAGATTTTTCATCCAGTCACTGTTGGTAGTAGACCCTTGAGACTGCTCCTCTTCTAATTCAGCTATTTTTCTCTGAAGCATGCTATTGATTCCTGGCAGGTTATCATCTCCGATGTGAGTGAGTAGAATAGAATCTACCCTGTCCAAATGCCGGATAAGCTTCCAAAAGCAAGATTTTCTTTCAGATCCTCCATTGATAAGCATGTTGAATCCATTCACCGCAAACAATGCAGAGTCTCCTCTTCCACCCGGGAAAATATAACAGCAGGGTTTGGAGAGTTTCAAGAAGCCTCCTGAGGTTGGAGGTTCCAAAATGTCAAAGGGTGATGGCACTTCTACCGATTCTGACAGATACTCTGTAAATTCAGAAAGTCCTTCCATTTCAGGCAATATGGAAGATGAGTTGAGCTTAATGTTAATGAAGTCTTGAAGGTTGTGTCGATCAAGATTGGAATTTTTCCAGTCCCCTTCCTCAGGGCAGAAAAGAGTTAAGCTGGCTTTGTTGGCAGGATGTGTGGTGCTCAATAATTCACCAATCTAGGGTTGTGAAACAAAAAGACAAGAAGATAAACATAAATTAATTTTTAATGATAATTAATGACAGAACATGATATTATCTAATCAGATCAGACTTTTGTTAGACCTTCTTCACTGGTGAGTACCCATCCTAGAAGCCAAAGGAACTTATATACACTATTAGTTTACTGCTGTATTATTATTATTACTTTTAAATACAAAGGAACTGCTTCCTCCTGATCCCTTCCTCTCTGCCCAAAGGAGAAAATTACCCCAAGGTTCTCCCGTCCTTCCTTCACCCTTTATAGGAGGACAGTAGAAGCTTTTTTATTCAGAGGGGATGAGAGCTATGAGTTTAAAACTGCAAGTGCTGCCACTATCTCTGCCACTGGCTCATGAGCCTCTGTGCTGCTCCAGTCAATCTGGAAGAGCCATTCAAATACCTATAGGAAACAGCACATCCTCTGAACAGGCTGTACTGGGCTCATTTAGCAAGGTTTTTGTAGCAGGTTGCTGCAGGGGTGACCTCTGTAAGCAGAACCCAGCAGCTTCTCCCATGTCAGATCAGAGCCAGCTCGATCTGGTTCCAAGAAGGACCCACCACTGGCCAGAGCTAAGACAATGAGTGATGCTGGTTGGGCCTCTGGGAAAGCAGATTGAAGAAAGGGAATAATGGTGTGCTACAGCAGCTGGGAGAGAGAGGAGTGAGACGCAGCCCTGTAGCCCCTAGGTCAGTGCAGCAGGAGGGCAGGAGGTGCTGCAGGCAGGCAGCAGCAGTTCCCCTGCGGCCTGTGGAGAGGCCCCTGGTGGAGCAGGCTGTCCCCCTGCAGCCCATGGGTCCCACATGGAGCAGATCTCCACACTGCAGCCCCCCCATAGGTGGAGGAGCCCCCGGTGGAGCAGGTGGATGTGGCCTGGAGGAGGCTGCGGCCCATGGAGAGCCCCCGCAGGAGCAGGCCCCGGGCCGGAGCTGCAGCCCGTGGAGAGGAGCCCACGCAGGAGCAGGGGGTCTGAGGGGAGCTGCCGCCCAGCCGTGGGGGACCTGTGCTGGAGCAGTTTGCTCCTGGGGGATGGATGGACCCCATGGTATGGAGCCGTGTGGCAGCAGTGCTTGAAGAGCTGCTGCCTGTGGGCAGCCCCTGCAGGCTCAGTTTGTGAAGGACGGCATCCCGTGGGAGGGACCCCATGCTGAAGTTGGGGAAGAGAGTGATCATGAAGGAACAGCAAAGATGAAGAATTATCGTAACCCCATTTCACTATGCTGCTCAGGGGTAGGAGGTAGAAGAGGTGGATGGAGTGAAGGTGTTCTTAGTTTGCTTTTAGTTCTCACTGCGCTAATCTGTTAGCAGTAGGCAATAATATTAATCTCCTTTATGCTGAGTCTGTTTTGCCCTTGACACTAATTGGTGATTGATCTCCCTGTCCTTATCTCAACCCATGAGCCTTTTTCATCATATTTTCTCCACCTGTTCTGTTGAGGAGGGGTAGTGAGAGAGCATTGCTGAACTACCTATTGGTATTAAACCACCACATGCCATAGTATGAAAGGCTATTTTTCTGTTCCAGTCTGATCTAAAAAACAATATTTAATTGTTCCAGATCAGTACACAAACAAATATATAACACATTTTAAAGTATAAAAGTATAACATATTTTAAACCTTCTGCCAGTTAGAAAAACACAGCCCATCTCTATCTTATTTGCTCTTAACAAAAAAAACACCAAATTATTTAAAACTCTTCTTTAAAGAAGTAATTCAGATATAAAACATCAGTGTAAAATATGCCCACACAGTATCATGGAAAATACCATCATCTTCTTTACAGAGACTCAACTGTCATTTAAGCTATAAGAACAGTTCCTATTATGCTACAGCTGAACAATTTGAAAGTTTTGGACCACAAACTCAATCAGCAGAAGAAACAAATATATATAAATTAAAATGATGTTTGATTGCAGTGATTCCTGTGGGTCTCTGTGTGCTTATGTCTAACTTCCTTTCTTTGTGTTACATTATTTATTTTCAACATTTACCAAAAATAAAACTCATCAAAGATGCAGTAGCTGTTATCCAAACAAAAATAATTCAACCAGTACCTAAATAAAGCAGAAAATAAATATTTTCTATCTTTCTTTGTCAGCCTTACATAGTATCTGAACCATTTGATAGGAGTCTAAAGAAATTTCATTTGTATGTCAGACTTGGTTTTGTCTGAAAAAGAACAAAGAAAAAGGCAAAATAAAAGGTGTTAAGGTGGGAGAGGATAAATGACAAGGAAAATAGGAGATCCATTCCTGCTGTTTATCACAGAAATAAGAGTGGCAGCAAAGACCACAACTCTGAAATGGATTTAGGATCTTCAGTATAGTCCTTATGCTGTCGCTCTAGTCAGAGTTGAAAATACATTATTAGGGAGCATTAGAAGTAGTAAAAGATCACTTCCTTTATGCGAATAAATCAAAGCCCAATGCACACATAAGGTGATAACTTGTGTACAGACTGTTTCTCATGGAGGGCCAACTTTCTGGATAGACAGAAAATCATGTAGTAATACAGTGAGCTAAAGAATATACTGTCCCAAGGTTCGCAGTTAGTCCTGTCTAGTTTATATAATACCATATTTGGATTTCTGCTTCATACCACTAAATTCAATCTCTGTTTCCTCTTAAAAGCTGGCACACATAATGCACATACTGTTAAGCTATTGGTAGCACAGGCCAATGAAGAGTTGGAAAAAAAAAATTCCAGACATAGATCATATCTGTTACGAACAGCAAGCTCAGGAATGCCCCAGTAAAAGCTTTAATGGATTTATATTTCCAACGATGACACAAAAGGCATTGACAGCTTCACTGCTTACATGATTTGATAACACAAAAATGCAAATGCTTTTTCCTTCCTCTGGACTGAAGGTCAGTCTGCAAGCAAAGAAACCTATTTATGAACCTATTTAAAGATGGCCACATCTTTAAAGCACTGGGATACCACTTTTGAAGAATCCTCAAGTTTTAAGGTGTTGTAGCCATAGAAGGCAGACAGCAAGGTGGCTGCTCAGAGAGCATACAACATCGCTTAATAGCCTGGACCACAAAGGCAATAACAAAATGTTTTTCCTCTGATAGCTGTTGTTGCAGAGGTGGTGTAATAGGACATCTTCAACGCTCTGGCACAGGAGAAATTGAAAACAATGCTTTTAGGCATCGCCTGCAGGGAGGTCTGCAAGCTAGACATGGATTACTGAACTGGACTTCAAAAGAGTATCACCCTGGTGAAGGGAAATACTTCTTCACATATTTGTAGGCACATACCATCACCATAGTTCAGGTTTGGTCCAGTGAAACAAAAGGGACGGAAAACAGAAACATGAACTTCGCATAATATTCATCAAACCTTATGTGCTTATGGGTCAGGACAGCATAAGAATTATTTAATTTAATCACTATTTGAAAAACCACTGCCCACTTTTTTTATAGCCTTTCTTTCTAACCTTGTTTCCAATTTGTAGACTCTCTGAAAATTTCCCATTGATGGCAGCATTGAAAAAATGTCACATTCACAGGCTTCTGTATGGGAATCAGGTTCTTTCTTTGGGTTTCTGAAACGTGTAGAAGCAGTGAGAGCCCAAGGCTCAGGGACAACAAGCTGGATGCCAATGCTTTAAAAGAGTCGTGCTGGCTGGTGAGCATGCTGCCACTAGCAGAGATGAGCCATGGGAACCTTCTTGGGGCCAAAGGAATATATCCCACATGCCCCACAGCAATCCCACATTGGCTCTAGTGTCTTGCCAGACATCACCACTCAGCTTTCCAGCCAACTGTTGTTGGCTTATTAACTGTAACAGTAGGATTTGCCGCTGGTTTTGCATGTAGTTCATGCGTTCCTACTTAGCCAGAAGCACATGGAGCTCAGTCTCGCAATTCCACAGAAAAGTAACTCTGCAAACTGACTTTTAGGTGCAAGATGCATTTCCGAGAGCAGGAATCCAGTTCTGGAATTCCAGCAGGAATCCTTAACCCTACAACCACATGCAGAACAAAGAGGCTTTGAGAACATGATCAAATAGATACAGTAAGGTCATACCAGAGTTAATGCAAACTCTGCTTTTTCAGCACTGAACTTTCAAATATCACTCCACTGAAATTCTCCTAATTACTTTTGGAAACTAAAATCCTATGGACATAGCCATATAGTTTATCTAAATATATGATTTACACAGCAGCCAAATTAAGTGTGACAGCTTGTTTACTATGGGCTCCTGCCCTATGGGAGCTTTCAGACACAGCACATTAAGCAGGACAGCAAAATAACAAGCCATGAAACAAACAGCATTAAATACTGGTATGTTGTATACTTGTGTTTTTGGTGTATAAAGATCACAAAATTTACAGATTTCTCTGGCTGGATTTTAAACACTACGGTAAAGAAGCCAAGCGGGTAGGTGGTGCAAAATTCTCCAGCTGTTCCAACAGACAGTCTCTATCTTACTTAATGTCACCTACTGCTCAGCTGCCAACAGGCAAGAACCTTTGTCAAATTTGCCTGCTTTGTATGCGCACCTTAGATAACAACCTGTACATTTCAGAAGCAACACTATCTCCTTCCGTTGTTAAAAAGTTCACTGGTTTCCTGTTTCTCAAAGTTAAAATTCAATTCCCCAAATTAAAATGCAATTCTTTAGTTAAGCAACTCACATTAAAAAAAAAAAAAAAAAAAAGGGAATTTAAATAGATGTTTTTAAAGAAAGCATATATTTTTAAAGAAAGAAGAGTAAAGAGCATCAGCATCAAGCTGCCAACTCTAAATTCAACCTAACACAGAAGGCCATTTTTGGTCTTCTAGAAACCTGTGCCATCACATGGCAATAAATGGAAGTTACTTTTACGAACACACCTCTTGATCTGTGAAGATCTCGATGAAGTTCTGGAAGGAGAAGGACCCTGACTGAAGAATGAGTTCTCCTGTGTTTTCAAAGCACTGTCCAGTTAGTACAAGGAGCTTGTGTCTTGCAGCATCTGTGATCATTAAACGCACCTACAGTGACGGAGAGAAACAGCAATAATAGGAGTTACCATGTGTTTCTACATTCCTATGAGAATGAGCAGTTTACCTTTCTTAATTTAAAACATATTTTGCAGCAGTCTCACAGTACTGGTGAAACATCATCAAGTTATAATGCTGCTAACAAAAAGAAACAAACTAACAAAAAGAAATTCTGTAGCAAAAAGAAACAAAAGAGGCACAAGAACTGATTAGGGAGAAGGCTTGATAAATAAGTCAAAGTAAAGACATGGAAAAAAAAATCAAGGAGCAGAAGAGAATAAAATTGGAATGACAAGAAATATTTTCAATGAACAAATATATTCCTTGTATAGCTCTTGGCAAGTTTTAATAGCAGTATATCAGGACAAATTTGGTCAACTGTGCCTCATTTTCTAATAAAGGACAACTACACGTATCAGACTCAGTTTTTGGAAGACCATCCTATTTTTATTTTTATTTTTTCCCCTGTATACAACATAACTTGCCATTCAGTTGAAAACATATCACTGAAAAGTAATAGTCACAAATCACAATCCTGCTTCACCAAAATCATAAACTTCACCATCAGGCACTCAGATACATGCACCATTTACTCCTCATGATGTCACTAACTATGGGCTTTCTACAGTGTGCCTGTAAAAGATCTTATTTCATATAAATTAGTAAATTATGTGGATGCCTGATGGCTTAAGGGAGCTTACTATTCAGAAATAGCTTTCTTCTGCATTTTGAAATAACTACTTTGAAGTAGATTCTCATTACTTTGCTTGACCCTCACAACAGCTACTAATAATTCCCGTTTCTACCTCAGGGAGAGATTTAATTGTATCCTAAGAAATATTCATACGTTCACTATCATTCTGTTGGCTGATCTCAACTTAAATTGAAGAATAAGAATAAATAAAACCTTCATAAAATTCTGTGCTGTTGAGTAAACCTTTTGCTAATATTTCAAAAAAAGTTTTGTTTTGTTTTGTTTTGTTTTGTTTTGTTTTGTTTTGTTTTTTTCCCAGCACCAGTAAATCAACTCAGATTAAGGTAAAGCTTGCATTTCAAGTGCGGTAATTCCTCTGTCCAAGAAGAATTACGTTAAAACAGAGTAGTGATTCCAGAACAGTGCTATCCAAACTAAACTAAATGAGAAGAGTCCGTCTGGAACAACTCCACATGTAGATACTGCATCCAAACACTATCTCCATGGAGATGACATAATCACCTCAGCACTCCTAGCAAGCCATTCTTTCAAATTTATATATTGATCGTTAAGCAATCAATTGTTCTAAATAATTCCCTCTCACGCCAGGGAAGCTGAGCCAGAAAGGCTTGACCTAAATCTCTGCTGAGCTCATGTTTTCAGTACAATTAGAAAAGAGTCAGTGAAGAGCTTGTAGCTTCAAGAAGATGCCAACTCTATGACATCTTCGTTGTTATTTTATTAAATAAGTGCCCTTGACTTTAAACAGCAGTAAGGTCCTTTAATTAAGCACAAAAGTAATGCTGGCTTGTCACTAATTGCACTTAGATGATTATAAATTCAACAAGATCCTTGATGGATAGAGTCTGTCTATTTCAGATAAGAATAGAGATAAATGCAGTGGTCTGTCTGATGTGTGTCTTGAAACCCCGTCTGTTCCAGTGGCGTTAAAACCATAAAAAAAGATGGTTTCCTCTGCTGTCTTTTCTCTCATTGCTGGCAGCAGCCCTGGGCAGTCTGCCAACTTATGTATAAACTTACTAGGCAAAATTATTTCCTGATTTATGAATCACTGATATGCGACTGTCACATAATTCCCCTTTAACTTATTTTATTAATCTATGGTTCTGCAGAATAAATAGATTCTGCAGAGCTAGAAAACTATGGCAGGGGAAAAAAAAAAGGTAAATATATGGTTGCAGATTGTAGAGGGTAACATATTATACACATGAAAGAACTTCCAGAGACACATAAATTCTGTGTCTGGCTATAATCAAAGCATTCTGAGGGACTATCAGAATTTTGTCTTCTGATTTCAAGACCACTACATCTAAGAAGAAACATTGCAAGGCGATAAATTCTGTTCAACTTTACCCTTGGTTGAAGTCCCAAATTGTTTGAAGATAGCAAACAGCAAGACTCAGCCAAAACTTGGTAACTTATTACATACACAATTGGAGGAGTATTATGGCAATGGAGTGGAGTCTTCTTAAAAACTAAGTAACTGTTAATAAAGTTTTCAGAAATTTGTTTTCTTAGAGGATATGTGGTCTGTCTCCTTTTGGACTTTTCTCTTTTGGGAAGGATTTGGCAGCTGACAGAACATGATAGGAGCTTTGGGCAGAACCATGTGCAAACTCCCACAAATATAGCTGTTACCAGCCAGTTAAAAATTAATAATAATAATAATTGTTCTAACAAGTTTTGCCTTTGTTTTTCCTGAACTGATAGATTCACTTTCATCTTCTAATGAAGTCAAAGCTCCATGGTATATCACTGTCTCCTCAGTTGCAACGTGGGAAACTACTGATACTTGAAGCTAAGTTTTCTATTTGCCATATAAGCCACATCTCATCTAACCTCCAATTTAATTCTCCTAGCTCTTTCTTATCGTCTTTCTGGCTTTTGTCCAGTGAGGATCTTGCTTAGTCAGCCAAGGTAAAGATCAGCTTCTAACTTCTGGCTGTGACCAGTTTGGCAAGATGAAAGCAAAGTAAAGATTGCCTCCCACAGCCTAGTGAAAGGAAGTTGGCAGTAACCTAGACAAACATCTTCCAGAGCCAAAGGAGTAAAGCCAGAGTTCAGAAGTCATTAATTGGCCTCAGACAATGTTCTTCCTTGTGGTCATCCATCAAATGAAGACAAGAAACAGCGATAGAAACAGCATTTCCTTGCTTTTGGCAGTTTCTTCTGCTCTCCAGCCCCCTCACACACACTTTAAAGCTTTTTATTTTTACTCTGAAAGCCTGAATGTATTAAAGACAATCTTAAGAGCTGCTGCCCAGCTGCCCTCCTTGTTCCTTTCCAGTCATCTCTAATGAATGCAAGAGATTTTCACAAATAGTTTTTCAGTCAATGAGCTGCTGTTAACTAAGGTGGATTAGTTATTTAAAATAAAATAAAATGAAACTTTACAAGTTTAATTTGCTTCAGTGTGTTTCTTCCTGTTGGTATTTAATATCCTTTGGGTTGGTAAAAAATAGATTTTTCAAATAAAGTATTGCAAGTAAAACCACTTCATTTCCCCACAGAAATTGTACCATGTCAGTGCTCCCCAGCACCAGCTAGCAATGCAATTATCCCTATTTTCTAAACCTTCAGTCTCAGTATCTAAATTTCTCAATTTTCTCTTTGAACTGTGTGCTCAGTTCTTCAACTCTACTCTACTGATTTCATGAGGAACTGGTGCTTTCCAGAGTCCAGTGATTATGTTACATGTTTTTTTCGAGGACAAATCACATAGATCAAACTAGAGTCACTATCACACAGAAGTTTTCCTCAAAGACCTGAATTTTTATCAGGGTACCAGTTGCTCTTCAGGCACTTTTTCATGTGTAAAATAGACATCTAAGGGTACCAACAATGGAAGAGTCAAAAAAAAGCAGATGGATGTGGTTCTATCACAACTGCCTCCATTTCATCAAGAAGGGAAATTGTGAATTATGAAGAAAGGATTGCTACATTCAGAGATCTGCTTCTGTTTACACTTTTGGCAGTTTACCAGGAGTCTGAGAAACTAGTAAGAAAATCAATGGATGGTTGATAATGTTGATATTTACTACTAACATGTGCTTTCAGCCACAATCAGGACCTGCTCTCATTCTGTCCACTTAACGGAGCTTTAGTAACACATCCAGTGAAATATTTCTGTGTGACTTACCTCGGTGCTAACTGCTTCATCCGAGGGATTGATCAGGACTACAGTTTCTAAGATGTCACTTCTGTGGTGAAGAATTTTCTGACCTGAAACACAGAGAGGGAAAAAAAAAAAAAAAAAAAGAAAAAGAAATTAAATCAAACCAGTTGTGCAACATGGTTTAAACCAATGCTTTCCATGAGCTAGCTATGCGTCCCACTGTGCAGCAGCTCCCGGGTTCACCACAGCTGCACACAATGGCCACAGCAGCCATGTTTGGCTCATGTTTTCAGAAACATCAAATGCCATGAGGGTCTGCATGCCAAAATCTGGAGAAATTCAAGGTAATGGAAATAAACTGCCAATAGCTGCAAGTTCTGTGCCTTCCCTTCCTGTTACTCAGCTTGGTCTCACTGAGCTGGTGTGATCAGGGACCAGGGTAACTGCTACCAGCTGAGCACCTGGCCCTGTATTTCTGTGGACATATCTACACCATGGATAGAGCAGAGACTACACAGTATGGCCAGGTAGTATGGTCATACTACACTAGTATGACCAGGTGATTTTAAATGAGCTTTCTCATATCAGCAGCTTAGCTGCAGCAGTAGGGAAGTCAGCAAGGGCTGCAAACTTCCCCTGTACAGGAAGCAAAGTGAATACTTGTGCTATACATCGGTACTGCCTGTCAAGCACGGTTTGTGAGATGGGCAGAGGAGCCCAGGGGTTGTCCCCACTCCACACCACTAGAAGCACACTCACTGTGGCAGTGCTCTAGAACCAGGCAGCATCCCACATAGATCCCAGGTCCCCAGCCACACCAAAACAACCAGGTTAATTAAAGCTAGGACAGAAGTCCTCTTCCAGCCTTCCCCTAATATCGACTAATACCAGGACACTGAAAAATTCCCTTTCAGGACAGTCTGACACTTGCCCTGCTGCCCTGCCATACTGCTTCACCTCCCTCCCATTTGCAAAAACTGTAACAAGCAATGTTAGGCAACAAGAGTGAACAGACGTGCAAAATACAGCTAGCTCCTGAATGAGTAATGTCTGGGCAGTTTTGGTGCAGCCTCACAGCCCGCTGGCTTTCATACTCAGTAGTTAGTCTGTCTGTGTATTTAATAGTGATATTCATCTGACTGAGAGTGGATGCCAGAAAAACACAACAGGACTCTTGACATTTTTTTTTCTTATGGTAATTGGCAAATGCTTATCAGCATCTCTTTCTGTGAGAACTGCAGAGAGATTAATTAGCAGCTGTATTGTCATTCAGAAATGTGGACTGGTAATTAGACCAAAACCAGAATAGCTTTCCTTTCCAAGAAAACTGCTTGGTATAATATTAATTAATTAAAATAATTAATTGTACTCAGAAGGAAGTAGGGGGGAAACAAAATAAGTCACCTATTTGCCAACTTAGAAAAACTCCCCTGTAAAGAGACTTAAAATAACAAGGCCCAGAACCGTGATTGTGAAAAGAGCTCTGCATTCCTGAAAAGACACGAGCACCATCAAGGCAGTCTGAGAGGGTGGGTTGCCAGCCTTTCCCACACAACCCCTGGCCCTGCCTTCACCCGTCCTGCACCCACCTCCTCCTCACCTCTCAATTTGATGCATCATCTGCTGTTGCTCTGGGGAAGCTCTGCATTCATAAATGTAAGAGCTTGTAATCAAAAGATAGAAAATAAAGGAGAAGGAGAAAAACAAACTAAAAAAACCTCAAGAATGCTCTCAGTTAAAATGTGAGATGAGGTTGCTGTTTGTTGTTTTGTGTGTGACAGTACCTGGAGACTTGTGGATAATAATCAAATCAAGTTAAAGTTGTTTTCATAACATCTATTCTTGGTGCACTTATTTGCAAGAAGGAGAGACTGCATATGACAAAAATGGAGGATGGCAAGTCTCCCTCTGCAGCGTCCAGTTCTGGCATTAGCCTTTGTAATTCAGTTTATTTTAATAGCTCTGCTTCCTTGCCTAATAGGAATGCATACATGAGGTTGCATTCAGTAAAGCATCCAGATGGCTCTGTTACCACAGACTCCTTCAGAAGATGCCCTATGATCAGATATTTTAGTTATTCTGCAGGCTTCCATCAAATGAAGAGATTAAGCAGTGTATTGAATCTAGTCTTTAGTGCTGGGAAGGAAATGAAAGAAACTGTCACCCTTGAGTTGCCACAGAAATTTCTCATGTAATAGTGGGTGACACAGAACACACACTTTGCTTCAGGCCAAACTAAGTCTCATCTGTGATTAGATGTTAACACAGAATCACAGAATCACAGAATTTCTAGGTTGGAAGAGACCTCAAGATCATCGAGTCCAACCTCTAACCTAACACTAACAGTCCCCACTAAACCATATCCCTAAGCTCTACATCTAAACGTCTTTTGAAGACTTCCAGGGATGGTGACTCCACCACCTCCCTGGGCAGCCCGTTCCAGTGCCTCACAACCCTTTCAGTAAAGAAATTCTTCCTAACATCTAACCTAAAACTCCCCTGGCGTAACTTTAGCCCATTCCCCCTCGTCCTGTCACCAGGCACATGGGAGAACAGGCCAACCCCCACCTCTCTACAGCCTCCTTTAATGTACTTATACAGAGCAATAAGGTCACCCCTGAGCCTCCTCTTCTCTAGGCTGAACAAGCCCAGCTCCTTCAGCTGCTCCTCATAGGACTTGCTCTCCAGGCCCCTCACCAGCTTCGTCGCCCTTCTTTGGACCCGCTCAAGCACCTCGATGTCCTTCTTGTAGCGAGGGGCCCAAAACTGAACACAGTACTCGAGGTGCGGCCTCACCAGAGCCGAGTACAGGGGGACGATCACCTCCCTAGCCCTGCTGGTCACACTGTTTCTGATACAAGCCAGGATGCCGTTGGCCTTCTTGGCCACCTGAGCACACTGCTGGCTCATATTCAGCCAACTGTCCACCATCACTCCCAGGTCCTTCTCTGCCTGGCAGCTCTCCAACCATTCCTCTCCCAGCCTGTAGTTCTGCTTGGGGTTATTGCGCCCCAGGTGCAGGACCCGGCACTTGGCCTTGTTGAACTTCATACAGTTGACCTCAGCCCATCGGTGCAGCCTATCCAGATCCTCCTGCAGAGCCTTCCTACCCTCGAGCAGATCGACACACACACCTAGCTTGGTGTCATCTGCAAACTTACTGAGGGTGCACTCAAACACATTAAACAACAACACATTAAACATAGCCATAAAAAAATGCATTCAGTCACATGCGAAGTTAGACAAAGATGCATGGTGTCCACCCGACTCAAAGCACCGACTTTGGACCTCACTGATTCTACTTCAACTCATCTCTGTAGCTGAGATGGATTTGACCAGATTGAGACCCAGCTCTCCCTGAGTGGCACTGATGGAAGTAATGTACAACCTACACCCCCATGGTGCAGACGTCCAGCTCCAATAGCTGCATGGTTCCATGCAACTTGAGATTGATTTCCAGAGGCAAGTGTGGTGGTCTGCACCATATACACATGCCTGTTTGGAGCTGCAACTGGAGCTGTGACTGCCCCCTCTTTAGATCCTCCATCTGTATGTGTGTTACTGCTGACCACACAGGCTGGGGACTGAGCACTGGCAGGGTGTAAGACACTACAGGGGCTTCCCTCATATAAAATTCTAGAGTGGGCTCTATTGTTATTAACCATAAAATGATCCTATGCCATTGCTTGAATAATAAAAAGTACATCCTTTATGGACGTGACAATTTTGTAGGAGTAACACAGGGTTGCTGCTGTGGTTGCTACTTAGAGATGCTTGGCTGTGATGAAGGAAAGTCTCCCAGGGAAACAGTTTTACCAAAGAGAAATTAAATGTTGCAGGGCAGGAGAAGAAAGTAGCATGACCATTTCACAGGCTGGCTAGAAACTGTGACTTCTTAAAACTATAGATGGAGTACGAGGATTGGCGATGTGTGTAGAAGACCCGAAGTTTCTCTAAATTAACTCTACTGGATTTTTACAGCCTATCTCTACACATTTAAAGGAATGTTTTTGTGATGCGACAGAGGAAGAAAGGAAGAAATTTCTAGGATGCACAGCAGCAATTGGGTGGCTATATTTTACCCAAATTTAGTTTCAGAAAGGCAAGTCAAAGTCTTACCTAACAACTTCAGGAAATAAATATTAAATATTAATTCTGTTTGGAAGAAATCTAAGTATTTTTTCATTCCCAATTTTATGAAGTAAAGCTTCAAATTTAAACCAGTTATGAATAGTCATGGCGGTTGTCTGATCCAGAATCAGTCCAACAGAGAGAAGTAGACTGCATGTGATAGTTGTTTAAAGGGTGATTTCCACCATCATTCCAATTCTTATGGCCACAGAATCCCACTGACCAAACGTTGATAACAGATATCCTAGGATTATTGAGACTGGTATTGCCAGTAACATTGAAAAGTGACTGAAGACGTTTCTAACTTATGCAGTTGGTCTTTTCAGGCCAACCAAGCACCATAATCATGGGACGCACTTCTAACAGTAACTATACTGCAGTTAATTTTTTGCAAGCACAAAATGTAAGTGAATGGCAAGGGAAAACAAGCAAGCCCTGTTTTAAGGCTTTTTTTAACCAAGAACCACTACACACTCTTTACTCCACCTGTGCAACACCAGCCCATGGGGATGCATGCTATAGGCAACAAGACGTTCAACAGAAGAGTTTCCAGCAGCCCTTCCCACCACCTAGTCTGAAAACCAGCACTCCCTCACTCCCCATCAATGCCGTTTCCACACAAATTACATTCAGAACAGCCCATCCATAGAGGAAGCAGGAAAATATCTTCTGTCATGTTTCTAGCAGGGAGGGTGATGGGAGAACACCTTTTCTCTGAAGATGATGACTGTTTGGCAGCTGAGCTGACATTCAAACACAACCCTTTATTAACGTTTAACATTTTTTAACATTTTTTTCTATGTCACTGTATAACAAACAAACAAAAAACCAAAACATACACACACACAAACACTAAAGTATTGTCTCTCTATCAAAAGACATTACCACCATGTTCTGCCAGTCACCATGCTGGGTGACATTAACAGTTTGTGGGTATTACAGATGTAGTCACCCCTTAGAAACTTTAGTGGCTTTA